TTTCCTAAAAGCAATTTATTCTTCAAGTTTCTCATCTTCAAGACCCTTAGTGGAATTGGTTCATAACAAGCTCCCTGACCTTACTCCCCACGACTCACCCACATATCTAGATCTAGTAATAAGAGGTGTGTGTTACCTCTCTTGTGAAAGTGTCACTGGTCCTCACTAGCATGCAGTTCAAGAGTGCCTAGTCCTTGCTAAGTAAAAATTTTGGTTTACCAATATTACTCTACTTACTACATACAGATTCAGAATTATAGATGTGAAAGGAAGACCTTGGGGGTCATAAATGTAAAACACACAATACTGAAATGAATCAAGTAAGACTGACTTCTCACTTGTTTGTTAAGAATTTGAGAACACCAAAGGGAAGTCAGTTTCTGGAATGCTTGGTATCAAGTGTAGAAGATAGATCCAATCTACTTAGTTGTTAGGCCCTTTCTGTGCTTCAGGGACAACACAATGGGTATTGGTTACCATTACATGGAACCATTTCAGAAGTATAAGAAATGGCCAGAATTTAGACTGATCTGAAGGCTAACTTGCTCTCTGCTCCTTCAAGTAACTCCACTGCGTTACTCAATTTACTTTCATTCATCCTTCCATATAAAAAAGAGCATGGAGGAAAAATGGGGAAAATATGAGGGTTTTTTTTTCCCCACTAGATTTCAGAAAAAATGGGAGTTTATTGTACACAATTTTATAAAAAGTACACAAATAACAAAAATACAGTCTGAGAACATGAGAAATGATGCTACTGATTTTATATTATTTACTTCAAAGCATTCTGTTATCAGGCATTCATTCAGTGGGATGAGTTGGAAACATTTCCCTTACTTTTGCCTTTGTCTCACCAGCATTGATAACTGATATACCCTTTCTAGCTCATCAAGGAGGAACCATAGAATGAGAGTCCCTGACTTTCTTTCTCCAGCGCTTAATTCTCAGACCTTGGCACCACTGACCAACCAGACAGCAAAGACACAAACTTGAATATCATTCTAGAGTCTTCCCTCAACCACAAGCAATCATTTAACAAACGCTTGTTTATTTCACTTCCATTACTTTTGCCTTAGTTTAGGTCCATCAGCTTTGGATATACTTAGTCTCTCAGCTTCCAGTCACATCATCTCCCATTCACTTCAGACACTACACCAATGCAATCTGAATCTGGCTGTCACCTCCCTGCTAAAATCCCTTTAATGGTGCCCCAGAGCTTTCAGGATAAGGGTCAATTGCCTTACCTTAGCAGACAAGAACCTCTATGATTTACACCTTGCTCATCACTGCAGTTCTATTTACTTCCTCCATTTTAATATTCAATCCAGTTTAACCACTTTTACCCCCAATGGATTATGCTCTTCCATGCCCATGAAACATAGTAAGCTTGTGGTTTACCAAAGGGCATTACAGTACTGAGTTACAGTCAGGTTGAAACCCAAGTCTTTCATTTTAAAAAGGAGGAAGGACATCAAGGTACAAAGAGGGTATATACTTTATCCCCAGTTTGTTCCTGGTTAGGAACATAACTGGAATCAGAACTCAGTGTTTATGCCTACCTATCTAGAATACAGTTTTTTTATTTCTGGCACTGTTCAAAGTAGAAAAAGTCATACTACTTCTCAATGTAAAACTTTGAAAACCTTGAAAATATACTAATCATTTAGTCTTTATTTACAGAGTGGCTTAAACATGTCTATCTAATGTGTTACAAGTACAGCACTTCCCAGTGTAATTCATTTTCTCAGAAGCCTTCTCTTTAGTAAGCACAAGACTTCAGTCCTCAGAAGTGCAAAGAAAGCTCTCTGCTCTAAAATTATTCTTTAAATTCAACAGAAGTTCCCAAAATAAAATCTCACAAATAAAACAATGGCATAAACAGACCTGATAATGAAAATGAAATATGCTAAGAACATTCTGTCATGGAAATAAACTTGACTTTTTGTGATTAATAGTAAGATTAAATTTTGAAACACATAAGAATGAAGCCATTGAAAACAAAAGAAATACAATTTGGAAAGGGTCCCATTTAAAATTTATCCATTTGAAAACAGCCTCTGTCTTTTGGCTATTGTTGCCATGTGCATATCCAGAAATTCATTTTTGATTGTTATTTCCAAATGCAAATGTGAGCTGTTGTTGGCATGTTCAAAATTTGCACTGAGAAGGACAAAACAACAAATGGGATTTTTTCAGCAGGAATAATAAGTATGTTCCAATAGTTACAGGGTTTAATTCATGTTTCAGATGCCAGCCTTCTCCTTCTAATTCTTTAGTATTCTGTGTCTATTAGGAAATGGGAAATACAGGAAATAGGATTACCAGGCCATTTCTAAACATTAGCATAGTATGAAGTAAGTTAGCAAAGAAACACATTTTCTAAGAAAGGATAAGGACAGGGAGGCTCTAGCCCATTCCCTCAGAAATGATGAGTGCTTAGAGTTTAGCCAAATCTAATCATGCCATCATGCCCTGCATTGCCTTTAATGACAAGGCAGGGACCTAGAGAGGGCATATCACATCAGATCAATGCTCGGAAAAGGAAAAAGAAAAATTGCCTGTTGAATAGGAGAATTGGGGGGTTCTCAGCTTCTGATTTCAATAGATTCCTGGGCACCCAAAGAATCAATCAATAGTATATGATGGGTTTGGGGGAGGGGTAGAAGAAGACTGAGAGGGCAGAGCGCAGAAAGGAAGGAAGAAATGGTAAGAACTGCTTGATAAAATATTTAATATAAACCTAAACCAGGAAGAACACTGACCAAAAGATGAAATTCTATTTTACTTGAAGGAAAGGCGGGGCGGGGAGGCAGACCGAGAATACATAGGGAATGGCACAGCAAAGACAGGATAGCATGAGTCCACAGGGAACAAAATGACATAATATTTAAATCCAAAATATGGATAATAATCACTGGCTGTATATAAAAGCAGCTTTCATTTCTTTCTGTTTCCAAAAGAATATGGTAACACTTTGGTTTTGAAGAGTTTGAGATGGGCTCCATATCCGGTATCCTAGGATAGCTACAGTCTTTCTGAATACAGATGTCATCTGGAAAGTTCCCTTATAAAATATATCATCTCTCAAATAAATATTCAGAGAATTGGATGGATAGTCACTAATGCACTTTATTAGACAAATCTTTATAAAGCATCATATTAATAAAGGATGGTAAGATTGAGCTGTATGACAATGACAATACTACTATGGTACTGACAATGTTTCTTAGTATATAGCATGAACAATACTTTCAGTTAAAGGTGACAAGAGTTCTTCTAAACAGAACTAATCTATGTCAAATAGAAACTTCTCTGATGATTTTGTGACAAGTGAATAATGAATGACATTTTCCATTAAAAAGACTAGACTGATAATGAATGATACATTGAGGGTGACATTCATACACTTGTTAAGAGGACCATTATATAAGTTAAGGAACAAAATTAGAGTTTATGGTCAATAATTTTAACTGAAAAACATGTCTTCTTATACACATGGTATTGCTGGAGTCAATTTTAACCATCATAGTTAGATTTGCCAGGATATTCCTTGTCCCAGACCCTTTATTCACTAGTGATTCTGGAGGAAAATTTACATTCATTTGTAAATTTCCTGGCCTCATTCTTGTCTATGCTCTATCACACACATTCCAATACAATAAAAGAACTTCTTATGTCCAAGGATACTTCTCTCCCCTTCCCCTTGCCCAAACCTGCTTTTCCTCCTAATTACTCCTTTAGGGAAGCAAGCAATTGCCATGACAACCATATGATGGGGATTTGAACAGCATTTGAGGGGCAGTCCTTGTGAAAGTTAATATTGGTTTGTGTTGAACAAGATAAGGAAAATCAGACAGTTGGGTAATACTCTCTTCCAAGGGGCCAGTTAGCTATATGGAATTAATAGTCTTCATCAAACTTAACCCTCCAGAACACAACCTCAGAAAAAATGATGCAAGTGTAATTTATTCCTAGCTAAGTCATTAACTTTCTACTATAGTCAATTAGACACAATGTCCAGTGGTAATTAAATCAAATACCATATTTTATATGGAAAAGAGCATTAAGAACTTTGCCTTGCCTTTTTAACTTCAAATGTACATGGACCATTCAGAGACTTGTTCTTTTCCCAAATAAGAGTTACATGTTCTCTTTTCTGAGAAAAAATACTTGTTTTCTGCACCCCTTAAATTTTGTTTGTATTCCCTTCAGATGATGAAGGTGAATTATTAGGGACATGTGGGGACTTTGTTAGTATCTTTATATGCTTCTAGAAAGACAAGTGCTGCAGACACAAGGTGGCAATTGGAGTGCAGGTGTCCTACCTCTCTTTTGTGTGACTCAGAGGCAGTGAGTGTTAAGGAGAGAACATAAGGCATATGTTCAATAGACATTTAACAATACTTCAGCACTATCTCTGACTTTGCCTGGGAGACAAAAACTATGACACCTTTTTTTTTCTTTTGTCCTCTTTTTTGCTTTTAAAGAAAGCAAGGGCACCAAAAAAAGTCATTCTTTGTTTGCCTTTACCTGACCAACTAACTGCACAAGGCTTTTCAAATAATGAGGAGAATCCTTTGTTCTCCCAGGATCCATTTAAAGGGAAAGTGGGTTGAAGGGTTTCCCCAGGGAGGAAAAATGAAAACCCCAGAACCAAGCACAAAGGTGTAAGAGATTTCACTCCCACTACTGTTCCTAACCTCCCAAAGAAGTTAACCCAATTCTGTTTTCAGCATGATTACGGTGGGTGAGGGGAGCACTCAGGTAGCCCATTCTCTGAGACCACAGTCTCATTCTCAAGTGTGGCTCAGACCACCCTGTCTTCCCTGACACCTTGAGGGGGTAAGTTTGTGCAGCCCTCCCCAGCCATGGGCAACAGAGCCAGTACTACATGCATTTGAGCTTCCCAAAAGGTGTGTCCCAGTACAAGTGCAAAGTTGGGTATTTAGACACTAAATGTATCATCAGAGCTATTCAAAGCAGCAAGTTACATACAGTACCTTAAGAAGTCTGACAGATGGGAGAAAGGCTGCGTGGCATAGCTTCCGGATAGTCCAGTTTAGGGGTCGAGGAGCGTCAGTCTGATGCATGACCCCTTCCAAATTCCACCAGGAAAACAAGAAACTGCAAACCTGAGCAACGCCTAGAAAATAAACGGTCCCCCACAACCCTGGCATCCCATGGTCATCTCCACACCTGCAAACTCCATTAGGGCAGAGGCTTCATGGAACTTGGGAGGCTAGTCAACTGGCGTTGCCTGAGGCACTGAACCTTCTTAAGAAAGCCACCTCCCCTCTCCCTGCAGCCGTGCTCATGCATACCAAATGTGGCTGAATGGAGGCACACTGCCTGCTGCTTCGGGGAGGGGATGCACGGGTTTAAAGGAGAGGGCCAGCCCGCACACAACAGCCTGTGGTCGGAGCCAGCACAGCCTGCTCTGGAATGCGCGCTCCCTCTCCCGCTCTCCTGCCAGCGCAGGCAGGTCCGGCTTTGTGGAAGAACCCTGGCCATTTGCTTTGCTAGCTTGGTTTAGGGGGAGTCAGGAGGAGCGCAAAAGGGACCATAAATAAAGCCAGAATGGGGAACTTGCACTTTCTTGCACAAACCATCTTTGATGAGCTGGAAACAGCACAGGGGAGGGGCTGGGACACAGAGGCAGAAAGGATGTCTCAGAATGATCAAACGCTTCCCTTTTGATTTATGTGACATAATAAATCGAGAGTTATACTCTAAAGGACCTGTAGTAAAAGATCTCGGTCATGTTCTTGGTTTTACTAACTACGATTGACGCTCCTCACTCTGATACATACATTATATAGATGATAGATAGGCAGGCAGAGAGATAAGCAAACAGATTCACACACACACTGTGCACAGAGTTATTCTTTTCATAGAAAGCAATGTAATCTAAAATCTATTTGGCTTCAGAAGACAAATGACATTTTCTGAATTTGGGGTTATCCCCTTTTGAAAAGCCACCTTGATACTTCTTTTCTGCAATGAGATTTAACCCTTAAGGTGTCTTGCGAGAGGTTTTCTATAAAAGATGGAGCTAAAGGAGATGAGTGTTTCCTCCCCTCCCCCATCTTTTCTGAAGATGGCTTTAAGAGAGTTGCTGCGTTAGAGTGGACAGTTTCCAGGGCTCCTGCGGTGAGATAGAATAATGGAGAACTTTTCAATTTGGAAGTAGAAATGGGATAATTTCACTTAGAGTAGGAATGTTGGGGGGAGGGGTAAAGGGGAAGGAGGGGGAGTTGGGAGTCCGAGCCCCTGCCTCTACATCAGACCCAGGGGGAGCAGCTTATTTGCTGCCATGCTGGAGAAACTTAAATCTTTAGAGCATAGATACCTTACTTATTTCTTCCCTCTTTATGTCTCTCCCTAGTGATTATACTGGATTTCTGTTTCTAATTAACTCAAAGAGATAGGAAAACCCAGCGTCCTGAGTATTCTCCACTCGGAAGCACAGAGCAGGACCTGGAGGGGTGGGAGCAAATGACACCTGGGGATCCTCCTGTGATTCAGAATTGGGGACAAGATAGATCCTCCCTGGAGTGTGATAACTACCAGACACACTGCATTACACTATCATTTCCCTCACATTGGTCCTTTGTCATAGACGTATATTGCAGAAAAGTCAATCTACTGATGGAAGCCAGATGACTGAATTGCCTTTTATTATAAAATTCATGTGCCTGATTCTCTATTAAACCAACGCCACAGACAGTTGGTTCATTTTCTATCACCATTCAATTTCCACAAAGGATTAAGGGCAGCTTTAAAATAAGAAGAGCTAACATGTATGTACATGTCAGGAATTGTGCTAAGCACTTCAAAGGAGTTACATAAGACCCTGTCCACAACAACCCTCAGGAAGTAGATACTATTTCAAATCCCCATTTCACAGATTAAGCACCTGAGGTGCAGAGAAAAGAGTAACAAACCTAAGTCAAATGGCTACTAAATCTAGAGTCTGGATTGAAACCAGTCTACTTAGGTGTACAGGCAAGCCCTCCTTTCTCCTCTATGTCTTTCATAATTAAGGGGACCACAGCAATAAACACATGGTCCCAGTGTTTTGATGATTTATCTTATGTTAAGAGTTGAACTAGAGAAGCAATGCTTAACATTTCTTTCAGACTATTACTTTATACAACATTGATATAGTAGTTAACAGCAAGAAAACAGAGTCAAGCTGTGTGGGTTCAACTTCCATTCTGACGCTGACCTTGGACTATCTACACACCTTCTCTGTGCCTTAGTGTTCTCACCTGTAAAATGGAGATACAAATAAAAACACACATGTAGGCTTTAAGTACACAGTATGGAGCCTAAAGTACTCAGTATAGGGCCTGGGTCATACTAATTGCCCTATACCATCATTGGTCTCATAGGTAGAATGTGCCAGGGCCTCAAGGCTAACACTGAGATGGGAAACCACTGAGAGTTTCCATTAAGTGTGAGTATGCATACTTATAATAAGAGGTAATGAAGTCAAGCAAAACAGATTACATCTGAATGTTTCCTATAAGTTATCATGACGATCAGAGTGTGGTAAAGAGGAAGCTGGAAGACTACAAAGGCTGTATGGGTTTTCTCATGCTCTACAGTGTTTGTCAGATCTCAAGATGTTGCCTTTAGGGAGGCTACAAGCTATTGTGGTTGTGAGAAATCTGCTCCATGGATGCGGAAACACTGCGGTTCCCCATCCCCTGCCCTTCACTGTTCCAAAATATTCAGGACCCCACAAAAAATGACAACCTTATTCTAAAAACACACAGCCTTTGATCTTCCTAGCTGCTTTCATTTTTACTGAATAACTCTGGTCAAAGAGAATAGTTAGGAACTCTGTGGCAGGAGGATTCCGCAGCCCTCCCTAATGGCAATTAGAGGGGAGAAGTACGAAACCTCCTGAGGATTGATTTGGAGACTATATTGCAAAAGAGATGATGATCAAAGAAGGATGATGGTACATGAGAGAAGGTTTTTCTTCTCTTGTTGTGGAAGTTTGTGCCACAATTGTTTGCTGTCAAAATATCTCAAGTAGGGTTTTCAGGCCCCGCTCAACCCTACTTTCAAGGAATGATATTCTCCAGGCTTTACAGAGCAGTCTAATGATTCAATGGGGCGGGGTGGGGGGGTGTCTAGGAATATGCCTAGCCTCTGAAGTTAACAACACATAATTCCAAAGTGCTTATTTACGAATTTTATGAATGTGGATGTTTACACTTCTTCAGAACAAGTTCTAGATGGTTTAAAACTCAGACACTACCATATTAGCTTTCGGTATCCTAAAAATCAGCCAGCCAAACTAAAATTAAAACCAAAACCAAACTCAATGCCACCGAGTCAGTTCCAAGACATAGTGACCTCTACTAGGTTTCTGAGGTGGTAAATCTTTATGGAAGCAGATTGCCCTGTCTTCCTTGTATTAAGTGGCAGGTGGGTTTGAACCACCAACTTTCCGGTTAGCAGTCAAAATGCCTTAGACACTACACCACCAGAAAAATTAGCAAGCTAGGCACATCTTATTTCTGTACTCCAAAGCTTGCCTTTGAACAAACTCTAATTCTCTCCCATGCTACAGAAACCCACTTTCCAATGATCATCTCCCCTTTCTGTTATTGGTAAATAATATTAAATTAAAGAATTGTAAGATTTGAGCTCACTTTCAATGCAGACTTGAGCCACAGTACAGACACTAATTTTGTTCTTTAAAATACCATGCTCCCCCTTGGGCACCCTCACTATAGCATTGCACTGCTTTGTATGTTGTTTTCCTTTACACTGCTTTGATACAAAGCAGCTCCCCCATGAAAACAAAGAAAAAAAAAAAAAAAGGGAATGACAGTGACCAGGTGGTACACTGTATTCAAAAGACTCCTGCTGAAATACGCTTTCTCCTCATGCCACTCAGAAAAGGGCTCAAACGTAATTCTTCACAATGTGTTACTTTAACACTGAAATTTGTAAGTATCTGGACATACATCTTCAGGTGCTAATAGATTACTATATCATGCCCAGCCTGTGAGAGAAAGACCTGGCAATGTGCTTCCATAAAGACGAGAGCCTAGAAAATCCTAGGAGGAACTTCTACTCTGTCTACTTGACTGCTAACCAGAAGTCTGACAGTTCAAACCCACCAGCCACTCCTTGGAAGGAAGATGGAGCAATCTACTTCTGTAGTCATACTGCCTCGGAAACCCAAGGAGGGGTCACTCTCAGTTGATACTGACTTGATGGCACCCAACCACAGTAACAGTGCACAAGATGCCATACAAGTATCCAAGGGAAATACCAGGAACCAGCCCAATTTAAGCTTGTAGACAACTCTATTTGCCTCAGTCTTTCATATTCTCATTATTAACATCAGCTTGCTTTATGATTGCACTCAACTGTTATCTCTGTTGTATACATTATGGCAATTCACCATTTGTGTGAGAATATCATTTGTGTTATCAACTTTATGGCAATTTATCACTTCAGTAAAAAAATAAATAAATATATATATGTGTGTGTGTGTCTATGTATGTGTGTGTGTATATATATATATATATATATATATATATATGTTTTTCTTGTTTCTTCCCTTTGTTGTTGTGTGTCGTTGAGGTGATTCCTAATGACAGTGACTCTGTATGACACAGCAGACCTGACCCACAGAGGCTCTAAGGCTGTGATCTTTACAGGAGTAGATCGCCAGGTCTTTTCTCCTGGAATCTCTGCTCAGTTCAAACTGCTGACCTTTCAGTTTGCAGCCAAGGGCTGAGCCACTGTGCCACCAAGCCTCCTTTTCTCTTTTCTTCCCTTTAATCATTGTGATTAGATCTGCCCCAAAATACCACATGTTTGTAGATTCTATTGACTACAAGCAGTTTTTAACTTTAGCCTTTTCAAATAGATTAAATAACTCTTATCTTTACTTTACTTAAAGGAGCTCTGGTAGCACAGTGCCTAAGGCACTTGACTGCTAACCAGAAGTCTGACAGTTCAAACCCACCAGCCACTCCTTGGAAGGAAGATGGAGCAATCTACTTCTGTAGTCATACTGCCTCGGAAACCCAAGGAGGGGTCACTATGAGTCAGGTGCGACTTGACAGCACTTAAGAACAACAACAACATCTTTACTTAAAATATTTTATGACTTTTGGGCATTATATATATATATATTATATAT